ACTTTGCTACCTCTGTCCCCCACAGCCCCGGTGCCCCCCCGGCATAGCCACCACCCTCACCCCCCCACCCACGGGCAACCCAGTGTCCCTGCTCGGGGTGGCACGTGGGGCAGAGGGGCGTCAGGTCAGGGTACCCACGGGGACACGGGTGGGCACTGCCCCCGTCCCCAGCGCCTCATGACTGGGAAGGGGGATCCTGCCGCCTCTCCACTGTGCGCCCCACCCCTGTGTAAATACAGAGATTTTTATATTAATTTAATAAAAGGACTTTATAAACAGAGCCAGAGTGCGGAGGGGCCAGAGGTGGGGAGGGGGCACAGCCGGCGGGCACTGGCCAAGCCTCATCACAGCACCAGGGCTGGCATCGCTTGGGGCGAGAAGCCTTTCTTTACCCAGTGCCGGTTCACAGCGTGGCCTCGCTGCGGTACAGCGGCTGCGGAGGCTCTCCAGGGCGGGTGCCGGCACGGCGTCGGGCGGTGATGACCAGCGTGCCAGCCTCGGTGAGGGCGCAGCTCACTGACAGTGGGTCCGTGTCCTCGGGCAGCCGACACTTGTGGGTGAAGGTGTCGCAGACGGTGCCATCCTCGGCCACCTGCGGGGAGGCAGCGCCGGCACGGTGGGGCACGGCATGGCACAGCACGGCACGGCGCAGCAGCACATGGCACAGTCCCAGTTACCCCAGTGCTAGTAATGGGGCAGCTCCCAGTCGCCCCAGCTCCAGCAGGGAGCTCAACAGGGCAGTTCCCAGTTACCCAGCGCCTCAGGGTCAATTCCCAGTTACCCCATTGCCAGCAGAGAGCAGCTCCTAGTTGTCTCAGACCTGGGGGTGGGGTAATTTCCAGTTACCCCAGTGCCAGCAGGGACTGTTCCCAATTGCCCCCCACCAGCAGAGAATGCAATGGGGCAGGAGTTCCCAGTTGCCCCATTCTCAGTGAGGACAGCTCCCAGTTACCCCAGTGCCAGCAAGGGCCGTTCCCAGTTACCACCCCCCCTGCAGGAGGGGGTGCCGTGGGGCAGAACCCCCACTGCTCCATGGCGGGGAGGGGACGAAGCGGTATGGTGCCCCCCAGGGTCCCTCACCTTCTCGGCCTGGATGGCGACGTGGCAGTTGGAGGTGGTCACCACGATGTCGGGGGGCTCGAACTGGCTGACGTCAGCCACCACCTGGTAGGTGTCACCCTGGGCACGCACCCAGGTGCCCAGGCTGCAGGGGCACATGGCGCCTGGGGACCCTGCGGGCATTGGGGGGCTGCTGGGCATGGGGGCATAGGGGCACGGTGCCTGGGGG